AGAAGAACCGCAGAATATAATGTCATACAGATATTTTTAATATTATAAAAAATCAGTAGGCTAATTTCTAATGAAGAGACCAATTTATATGACAGATTTTAATGTAGGCTTTTATTCATATGTAAACATTGTGAGATAGTTATAATGGTAATTAAACTAAGTTTTGCTCACTCCAATTGTTTTTTACCAATTATCCAAATAATGTTTAATCTTAGAAAGCTATTATTATCAGAGGTCACATGAGCATAACGGTCAGCAGATCAATGAATGAGAGGGCAGCGCTACCAGAGTTGACCATTTACCACACCTTGTAACAGCACAGTAGGGCTATTGCCGGGATAATACCATACAGTCTATGGATAATACACACACGCATAGAGCGGGATAACACACACACACACACAAGTGAATCCTGAGCGGTGAACTCATTTTTGGCAGCCGGAATTTCTGTGGATATTATATAATAGCTGCTTTTTTAACATTTTAGCAATTTAAAAATATAAAAAAAGGATTTTTTACACGGCACCCCTGCTCTCGACAGACCCCGGTTAGGAAACACTGGTCTAAATAATGCCGCGAGTGGGGCTTGAGGAAGTGACGTCGCCTGCGTCTGCGCCTGATGCAGCCCCTGAAGCGAGACACAGGAAACAGAAATACTGCAAAATAATAATAATAACAAGACGAAATAACGTTATAACATTTCGTTTCGTCTCGTTTTGGTCAACGAAAATGATGAGACATTTTAGCATAGTTTTTATTTTGCTAGCCACATTTCCTCTCGTTTTTATTCGTCAACGATATTGCATTGTACATTTAATTATCGTCATCGTCACATGACCAGCATTTTTGTCTCGTCTCGTCTTCGTCACGTGATAAAGGTTCGTTGACGACTATATTTAGTCATCATTTTCATTGACGAAGGCAACACTAGTTCACACATGCTCAAATGAACCGCACTAACAGAGCAATTGCACCAGGGTTCGTTTTAATCCAACCAAACATGCCAAGTGTGAACGCACCCTTAATGTATATACATGCTAGACTAAGCCAAGTGACAATCTCATTATCTAGGTCTGTTAGTTCAATTTCACAAAAAAAATTTAAGTCAGACTAAAAGTGCAGTCACATTAGTGAAAAAAGTTTCACTGTTCAATATAAATAACAAAGATATATAAAACACTTTTAAACCAAGCAGCTGTCTGGTGGTCTGCACAGCGACTTCACACGACCAATTTGAACATGAGTGAAATCTGCTTAGAGAACTTTTTTGCCCTCACGCTAGAGCATATTCCTATTGGAATGACTGGATTTCACCTATAAAATTTATGTGATTATGTTATAATGGTTTAATCTGGCTGAATCAAACTTTTAAAGAGTGTAAATGTATGTAGTTATGTTACCTTGACGGATAGCTGAAAGAAGGTCGCTGCGAGCATCGGTTGCGGCTGGAGCAGGCTGGGCTTTGGGTGCGGCGGGAGCAGAGACTCCTCCTGAGGGAGGTGGGGCTGGAGCAGAAGGTGGAGGAGGACCTGGAGGAGGAGGTGGAGGGGGAGGAGGAGGTGGTCCCCCCGCCATGGGTGGCGGTGGAGGAGCTAGACTATAGGCTTCCATGGGTGGTGGGATGGAAACAGCATTGCTGGAGATTGGAGGAGGAGAGGGGGGTGAATCAAAACCTAGAGGTGGCGGAGGTGGGATCATGCCACCGGGAGGTGGAGGTGGTGGCGGTGCCAGAGGAGGAGCAACAGTCGGACGGCCTGGAGAACAAGGCATCGCTGGTGGAGCTGGAGGAGGATGGCTGGGGCTTAAAAGACTGCCACGCTTCGGAGGAGGACCACCAGACACATCATTATACCTGCAAGAGGATAAACGCTTGTCAGCTCAAAAAACCATCTGCACTTGATACTCAACAAGAGAGAAATGGTAGGCTATTTTAAGACACTCACGGCATGTCTGGAGGTGGTGGTGGTGGGAAGTCCTCTTGCATTGGAGGTGGGAGAGGAGAGCTGGGATCATAGATGTAGGAGTTAGTGCTTTGGTCGAAATAGCCATCAGAGTGATTAAATCCATCATCACCAGAGCCAATACTGCCGTTCAACACTTCTGAAGAGTTGCTGTTAAGAGACGCATAAAGAGAAATATTAAATACAGATATCAATAATTTCATTCAACAGTCATGCTGCGTCATGCTATTGCATTGACAGATTTTACAATCCAATTCTATTCAGAAGCTTTTGAGTCGATTTAGGCTCGATTTGGACAATGTATATCAGGTAGAGTACATGGTACTTCAGGAATAAAATCTCTCTCAACTAAAGCTGTAAACTAAACGGGGAATCCTGTCAGTTGGTAGATTGCTACTATTAAAGGTTAGAATTAACAAAAGAGTCCATATACAGTATATTAATTTTTGTATATAACAATCAACATTTAAAAAAAAAAACTGAGATGAATACAAACATTTAAATTGTGCACAAGGCATTTTTTTCATATTTGAATAAATAATGTTTCTACTCCAACTTGTTGAAATATAAAAATCTAAATGGTGGTATAAATGATTTATTTGAACGTAAATAATGAAGACAACACTTACATCTTAAGTAAAAATAATAAATATTAATAATAATTTGGTATAGTGTATGTATTTAGCAAAAGCTCCTCCCTAGAGTTATTTTTTTCTAGCTAACAAACAATGGACACTGAATGGCTTCGCTGAGGTAAATGCTGCATTATGTGACATGCTGTTCACTGTAAAAAATAAGTGTAATTTTAACTGTAAAAGTTTGTAAAAACGCTACGGAAAAAAACTGTTAATAGGTTAACAGTAAGTTCCCGTACTATATATAGGGAAAAACTGTAAAATATCTAACCAGACATTTCATGTAATTTTACAGTAAAATGCTGTTAATTTGACCGTTTTTAGAAGTAAAAATAACAAATCAATGTATAATTTACAGTCAAAAACTGTAAACTGATATTCCCAGAATTCCCTGCATGACACTCCACATTTGAAAGTATTTTGTTTAAATAATCATGTTTTTTTTTAAAGTTTTTGTTATTAGTTATGTTTATTTGGGCTTTATGTTACATCTTCTGTTGTTTAATGAAAGCTGAATGCATTATTTAAGTATCATGTGTGTTACCATGATGGTGTTTTGTGTTTGCATGAATGACTCTGTGCACCTTCTATATATTAGTATATACTTCTGCTTGTGGTGAAGCTACTTGTAATGAGCTTTGATTCTTCATGTGGCTTTCTCTTTTACCACCTGCATTATTATGGTGGTTGTCAGTATGTTAAAGGTACAAAACAGCAGTTTTTAATAGCAGTGTGCATTATTGAATTTACTGGTTTACATTAAAATGTTCTTGTTTGTAAATTACCGTTTTATACTGTAAACTGTACAGTTTTTGGCCATAAATGTGTTTACAGTTTTTCTGTATTTTTTACAAAATTATTCTGGCAACCACAGCTGCCAAAATTATTTTGTAAAAACTACAGATTTTTTTTTACAGTGTTCTTTCCATGGTTGAAACTGAGTTATTTCATGAAACATGATATACAGTGGGTACGGAAAGTATTCAGACCCCCTTAAATTTTTCACTCTTTGTTATATTGCAGCCATTTGCTAAAATCATTTCAGTTAAATTTTTTTCCTCATTAATGTACACACAGCACCCCATATTGACAGAAAAACACAGAATTGTTGACATTTTTGCAGATTTATTAAAAAAGAAAAACTGAAATATCACATGGTCCTAAGTATTCAGACCCTTTGCTCAGTATTTAGTAGAAGCGCCCTTTTGATCTTTTTTTCTTTTTTTTGGGAAAGATGCAACAAGTTTTTCACACCTTGCATTCCTCCTTGCAGATCCTCTCCAGTTCTGTCAGGTTGGATGGTAAACGTTGGTGGACAGCCATTTTTAGGTCTCTCCAGAGATGCTCAGTTGGGTTTAAGTCAGGGCTCTGGCTGGGCCATTCAAGAACAGTCACAGAGTTGTTGTGAAGCCATTCCTTCGTTATTTTAGCTGTGTGCTTATGGTCATTGTCTTGTTGGAAGGTAAACCTTCGGCCCAGTCTGATGTCCTGAGCACTCTGGAGAAGGTTTTCGTTTAGGATATCCCTGTACTTGGCCGCATTCATCTTTCCCTTGATTGCAACCAGTCGTCCTGTCCCTGCAGCTGAAAAACACCCCCACAGCATGATGCTGCCACCACCATGCTTCACTGTTGGGACTGTATTGGACAGGTGATGAGCAGTGCCTGGTTTTCTCCACACATACTGCTTAGAATTAAGGCCAAAAAGTTCTATCTTGGCCTCATCCGACCAGAGAATCTTATTTCTCACCCTCTTGGAGTCCTTCAGGTGTTTTTTCATGTGTCTTGCACTGAGGAGAGGCTTCCGTCGGGCCCCTCTGCCATAAAGCCCCGACTGGTGGAGGGCTGCAGTGATGGTTGACTTTCTACAACTTTCTCCCATCTCCCGACTGCATCTCTGGAGCTCAGCCACAGTGATCTTTGGGTTCTTCTTTACCTCTCTCACCAAGCCTTTTCTCCCCCAATAGCTCAGTTTGGCCGGACGGCCAGCTCTAGGAAGGGTTCTGGTCGTCCCAAACGTCTTCCATTTAAGGATTATGGAGGCCACTGTGCTCTTAGGAACCTTAAGTGCAGCAGAAATTTTTTTGTAACCTTGGCCAGATCTGTGCCTTGCCACAATTCTGTCTCTGAGCTCTTCAGGCAGTTCCTTTGACCTCATGATTCTCATTTGCTCTGACATGCACTGTGAGCTGTAAGGTCTTATATAGACAGGTGTGTGGTTTTCCTAATCAAGTCCAATCAGTATAATCAAACACAGCTGGACTCAAATGAAGGTGTAGAACCATCTCAAGGATGATCAGAAGAAATGAACAGCACCTGAGTTAAATATATGAGTGTCACAGCAAAGGGTCTGAATACTTAGGACCATGTGATATTTCAGTTTTTCTTTTTTAATAAATCTGCAAAAATGTCAACAATTCTGTGTTTTTCTGTCAATATGGGGTGCTGTGTGTACATTACTGAGGAAAAAAAATTAACTTAAATGATTTTAGCAAATGGCTGCAATATAACAAAGAGTGAAAAATTTAAGGGGGTCTGAATACTTTCCGTACCCACTGTATTTCAGTAAGTTGTACAGTTTCTTTCAACATAACTAGTAAAGAGGAAGAGACGATCGGTTCACTGCCGCAGTGATCTGTCACCACAAAAAAGAGCATCAAAATGACATTGATAAATTGAATTTGGTATAAAATTGACAGAATTCGAAAGATTGGACTCACAAAACTTATTGCAGTTATTGGATGGAAGATGTGCTTCAAATAATGTTTACTTCAAGCATAAACTGAAAAGAACAGACTAAAAGACAGATTCTTGGGATTTAAGAATCAATAATCAGGGCTCCAGATAAAAAAAATTGAGTAAGGAGCCATTGGCTCCTATAAGAAAAAACCTAGGCACCAAATTATTTTTTTAGGTGCCACAGAATAAACATGTTTTATTTATTTTATTATTATTTACATATTGGCATGTGTTTAAGACTAATCTTTTCTTGACTTTATCAGCATTTTAATTTTCTTGTAGATGACCTGGGAACTAAGGTTCACTTAAAGTGGGAACTAAATGTCTTTTCCAACTTGAAATATACAGTCACAAAGAATTGTTCATTGCAGACTGAGTGTAGTTTGGGCTCCTCCTCAGTCAGTGCATCCTATAAATGTTGTCTTGTGTCTTTCACACATTGTGTTTTTCTTCATTACTAAAATGCAATTTTGTAGGAGTTGAATCATGTACAAAACAGGTTAAGTAAAAATATTAATATGCAATAGCGCATAAATCTAGCAAAATGCTGCTCTTTATAGTTATTTTTAGCTGACTGATGAGCTTATGTACACTGAATGGTTATTCTGTGCTAAATGTATTATTACGTTGCAATGTTTACAAGCTTTACACGTTTTCCGCAGTTTGAAACACTGAATGAGCTTTTGCATGAGACATTTCAGTAAGTTGTACTGTAGGCTTTCTTATAAAATAGCCTACCTTTTGATGTTCATTTTGTACTATAATAGTAAAGAGAAAGATATTAATGGGTCACGTATCGCTAGAAATGAAGCGCTAAAGCGATCGATCCTGCAGACAGTTTGATGAAGCTGAGGTGCCATAAAAGCATTTACACTGCAAAATTTCAAATGCATAAATAATTTTATAAGATTAATGTTTTACATGTTTTTTAAAACATACAAATAAATATTGAAAAAATGCAATGATACTTTTAAATACGACTAAACCACCAGTAGGTGGCAGCAAATGTCTGTTTTAACGACAGATGTCCGTTTTGAGTCATTTATTCATTCATTCAACCGATTCATTCAAACGGCTGATTTATTCAGAAACGAGGCAAGTGACTGTCCTTATGAATGGGTCACTGAATCATTGACTCACTCGATTCGTTCAAAAACGTGGATTCATTCAGTAACGAAACACCGCTGTGTGTTGCTCGGAGACACATGTCAGTTCTGCTGTGGCTTTGATTGGAACTATTTTCGTCAGCGATATTGAGCAAAATCAGTCAATATTTTGTCTAAAATCTAAGTCTAACTTCTTGTTTATTGAAATACTATTGTATAAAATCAGTGTCACATTGCAATCGTGTTGATATTGATATTCGGGGAAACATCATGGCCGTATAATGTTGCTTACCTAAATCATATTTTGTAAATATATTTTTTTCTACCACAGTATGCATCTAAAATTTCTGTGAGTTCCTTTGTGTGAGCAGTTTCTCTCACACACTCACTCAGGCGGTGTAAGTGTTTACACAGATGTTTACACATGTTAACACGCGACTGAGTGAGCGCGTGGCTGTGACGTTATTGCCGGCGCCGCTGGCAATATAAGGATCGGCTCAGAATCGGCAAGACATGAGACTGACCGGCCGGTCACCGATCCGGTCCGGTCATGGGAAAACTCGGCCGATTCCGACCACTGGCCAGTCAATCGGTGCATCTCTAGTCATAACATAAATATATTTAGTCGCCAGTGGTGACCTCAGCAAAAACTTCACTCGCAAATTAATATTTCTGTTCGCAAATGCGACTGTTTTAGTTGCAGTCTGAAGCCCGGCAATACTGTTCATCAAAAGGAAGTTAAAATATAGTCAGACTGGCCCTAGTTTTCATTACCCCAAGCTATCGTTTTTGGGGACCACAAACTCCTCCCCCATTTTCCGGCGTTCCCATTCATCTTTACGGGTTCTGATCTTTCGAGGGTTCAAGTTCCTTCGGTTAGGGTTGTCATCTTTCTTCTTCTGCTCTCAATAAACAGAGAAATAAACACAGTTACAGAAGCTCATGCATTCTGGTTGGTATTTTGAGGTGTTGCTGTACATGTGTACGCATGCTTCATACTCTCATGTCCCACCTTATGTTTGCGTTTCTCTTTCATAATGTCCTTGGTATCTTGCAGCATTTTCTCTTTCCAGAGGTCAAAGAAATAAGACGGATCAGTGTAGAACTTGAGAGCCTCCTTTCCATCCTCCCTGGAAAACAGAAAACACTTTAACCACCTTATACTGAAACAAAATAACAATATTCTGAAGCAATACAATTAATATATTGTGATGAATATAAAGAGTTTCACATGCCTGTATAGGGTCAGTACATGGAGATCAGATGTGATGGTGTGTTTACCTGTAACAGCTCAGATTGTTGAGGGGGGGTGGCTGGCTGCAGGTCAGATAGGTCTCTTGGATAGGCTGCGGTAGTGACACCCTAATGAAGAGCTTCTGATCCTGGATGAAATTGGAGTGGAAGGCTTTGCGGCTGGTAATGGCCTGAAGAGAAACTGGAACGAGAAAGCAAAAATAGGAGGAAGTAAAAAGAAAGGAACAAAGACAGGTAATGACATTTGGAATTAATTCATATTTTGCATCATTGCTTGAAAAACCACAAATTAAGGCTTTGTTCACAACACGCACAGATCTGATATTTATGGCTACTCTCATTTTGCAAGTGGTTATATCAAATCTGTGCTGCCATAGTAATCACTATGACGCCAAGAGATTCAGGGGAGTAGATGGGGAAAACCACTAATTTCGCCTCTGCTCTTGACATGTTGCTTATTGAACTCATCAAGTGGGTCAGAAACATTAATGTACTATTTATACAGTATATTAATACAGTGAATGCCACATGAGCAAACAGGAGTGAATTCAGATACAGCTATAGACACACTACTGTGCTTTGTGCATGACATTACAGTGACAGGTACGAGAAAGCACTTGAAATCTGATCTGACGGCTGACAACAAAAAGCATTTCAAAAACAGATTTTTCTTGAAAGAAAAGGTGTAACGCACTTCTAGAAAATAAACGTAAAAGTTATTGGTTAAAAACAAGTAACATTACAGCCATCCTCAGGGCTCTCACCAGACCTCTCATGACAGCTTAACTTGTTTGAAAATATGTTTTTTAAATCAGATTCTAACCACAAATAGAAGTGGTTTGGATTGGGATTATATATATAAAAAGTCATGTGTTTTTTGTCAGAGTAAAATCTATTAAAAACAGAGTTGGAGATGCATAAAAAGTAAATGAGAAGAAAATGTAATAAAAAATAAATATAAAATAATAATAATACAAATGAGCTAAGGCAAATACAAAATAAAACAACATGCAATAATACTGTTCAAAACTGAATCAAAACTCAGCATTAAGAATTTTGTTTTCTGTACAAAACAGTGTGGTCCAAATAAAATGTTATTAAACCAAAGGAAAATATGACTAATATGCCACATCATTATAAGGAAAAATCTTAGTAGAACCCAATGTCTCTTACCTTCCTCTTCTTTAGGGTCCAGCTGGGTGACTTTGACCTGCAGCTTGTCCACTCTCTCTCCCAGCGTGTTGACCCGTTCGGCAAACGAGCTGGCCTGGACAAACAGTTCGCCGAACACATCCTCTGCATACTTGCCTATGATTAAATGACAGCTTAAAAGCAGCAACACACAACCGATTTACTTCAGTATACACCCCATTACACAAACACTTACTAAGTGATCCAAGCTGGCGAATGATGTTGGCAAGTGTGATGTTGGTCACACACTCCAGTTCACTCTTGATTGTATTTGGCAGTGACTGGCGACAGAGGTGCCTTGGTTCGATGTTTCGCGTCACCAAAGGCATGATGGGAGCTTATCTGTCACCTTCCTCTTTGAGACCAAAAAAAAAAGAATTCAATGCATTAAAAATCCTGTCATTAGCTGGGGAGGCAGAATCTACAATATGGTCTGGTGCTTTTTCCACATATTCAACACAACCACACTCACAGCCTTATTTATATGTGTGTCTAAAGCAGAACCAAAACTGTTTCTTCTGTCAAGACAACTTATATCCTAATTTCTGCAGTTAACACCAGCAGCAAGCAACTACCCATGAACACTTCTTGTCTTCGGGCTATTTATATTTTATATACATTTTATTTTAAACGGTGTTTTATCTGTGGTTATTAAAAGGTCACAACTGACCCATTTATAAACAACCAATCATATCCTTTCACCATGTTATGACTATATAACTTTTTATATACATGTTAAATGTACAGATAGGAATAATTTTACACATCTGAATCCAGTTTTAAGTGTAATATAATTCCGGTTAGATTCAGAAAAAATATATATGCTTGTGCATAAAGGGAAAAAATGTTCACCCATCAGACTTCCTATATTGGGAGGGAGTGGAGGCTCTCTATGTCTATGTTCACAACATACCAACCTACCTTTGTTTGTGACAAGATAAGATCAAATCAAAGTTGTTCCCAGTAAACTGATGTCCAGTTCAAAGTTAAAGCTATCAAATTAACAAAGGGTTATTTGTCACGACTGTTTAAATACTTCAAAAACTAGTAGCTGAGGCCTAAACTCTCCGAGGCGTCAGTGCAGAGCAGGAAGTGTTAGCGTTAGCTGACTTCATACTGTCAACTCGCCAACCCAACTGCGACTCTTTAATACTTCACGCACATATAAAGTACTTCTCAGTCTTACCTGAATATATATATGGATTTGGCCTTAGATGCCGACGTCTTTTGGCTTTTCAACTACCTCAGCAGTACCATTCCCTGAGGTTAATTCCGTCCATAATTTTCTAACCCGACAAAATGTCTACAAGTACTGTAACAAGAGTTGTATGGCAGCGACAGCTCAGTCCCGCCTTTGGTAACTTTTGATTGGACGGTGCGTGTTAATCCAAAGATACTATTGGCGGATGCGTCCGTCAATCACAGAAAAGGGGCGGATATGGAAACTGGAATCTTGAAAGCGCAACTCCACCCTAGCGGCTTGAAAACATCTGTTCGCAGTTTCTACACGGAGGGGAGGGCTAATCAACATTCCTGAACATCGGGCCAGTCCGAACAAATCCGAAACATGGCGACATTCAGAGGAGAAAAAGCCACAAGTGATAAGAGATCAAGGAATGCCCGTTATTTGTCTTTAACATTTTTTTTTGTGAATCAAATGCATTCCAGGATTTCTTTATTCACCGAAAAACAAATAGGACACAATTCTAATAAACATTTTATTGTGTACAGTTTATTTCATATAAAAGAGTGCACTTGTAAAATATTGCACGTAGCCCTGTTTTATAAAAATTACGTTAATTTAACGTGTTAAAAATTATCACAGCAGATTTAATTGTGCGCACAAACGCAGTTAACATCGGGCCAGTCCGAACAAATCCGAAACATTGCGACATTCAGAGGAGAAAAAGCCACAAGTGATAAGAGATCAAGGAATGCCCGTTATTTGTCTTTAACATTTTTTTTGTGAATCAAATGCATTCCAGGATTTCTTTATTCACCGAAAAACAAATAGGACACAATTCTAATAAACATTTTATTGTGTACAGTTTATTTCATATAAAAGAGTGCACTTGTAAAATATTGCACGTAGCCCTGTTTTATAAAAATTACGTTAATTTAACGTGTTAAAAATTATCACAGCAGATTTAATTGTGCGCACAAACGCAGTTGAATCATTGCAATACCGTTCACAACCACTAGACGGCATGTCTTAGCCTGTGCAGAGAAACAAAATAATACTAATATGCAACTTTAACTCTTAGAAATGTGATGTATATTTGTATGTATTCAACACGTCAGCCTCATTAAATTATGCTGTTTTAGTTTAAAGTACTCTTAGACACATCTGTCATCTTTTCCATGGAATTGGAGTTTAGCTTCTGCATCTAAGTGTCTTTTGCAGTGATTCTTCGGTTGGCTATCTGGGCTGCTCGCTTGTCCTTATCCAGCTGAGTGTGTATGAGCTGTGTGAGTTGGCCAGTTTGTGTCTCAGCACTATGTGTCCCGGGCCGTGTGCCGAATGCACGAGTTGGAGTCCTGAGATGCGGAGGGTTCTCAGTACACTGTACCAGAAACGCACCACCTCCTCTTCGGCACCACCCACCTCAAACCCCGCCCACTGCATATGAATGGTCAGAATGAGCTGATTGATCCTTCTGAGAGTTCCATCCTTAATCCAGCTTTCTAATATGCGCCATTCAGCGCTCTCCAAATCCATACGCAGAACATCCACCTACATAAACAGAAACTAAATTAATGTGACATTACAGGAGCAACCAAAAAAACAAGAAAAATATTGTATTAGTATGAAATCTGTTAGTTTTTTTTAAATGACTAGTGATTATATATAATACACATATTCCCTGAAGTGCACCTCATTTTATGAGTCACTGTTGCGATGACGCCCTAGTGTGAACAAAGACTTAAGTACATAAAGGTGGTGATTCACTACAGATTCAGCACTGGACGGTGAGTGTGAAATTATACATGACTTTTAGTGCATGTAAAAGAATCATAGAATTAGTGTATTTGGGTGTAAGTACCATGGTGTGGCCCAGGGAGTCCATAATGTCAAGCAGCCTGTGTTGTACATTACCCACGAGGCCTGCATGACGGTGTGGATTTCTCCAGTCTAACCAAGCCCGATGATTCTTAATAGATGCAAGCTCTCGACTCCCCCGACCGCTGGGGTCAAACCGATGAACCTCACACCCCGCATACAACATTGTGTCTAAAAATGCCGCATCCTTCCCATCCAGACTGTAAAGATACAGACAAAAGACTTCGCTCATTTGGAACTGCCTGAAACATCCCAATGAACAGTTCAACCAATTACTGTTTCTCTGCATCAGTCATGGCGAGGAAAAAAGCTACAGAATCTGGGACAACCTTCAGATTTTTATTTTTTTTTTCTTCTAGAGATTATATTCAACAAATCCCACCCTTCCAGCCTAACAAAGAAACAAGGATTAATCTAAATTTAATTGATATAAATAAAAGTCTGCTTGAAAGAAGGAAGGATGTTGTATGCAAGTTGTTATAAAGAATGCATATTATATAACCATTGGTATTTCATTGAAAAGAGGACCATGTTCTTATTTCTTTATGAGAAGTGATTTTATTTAAATTATGTGTCAGAGCAGTTACATATATGTCGATATTGCATGTTCAAACCTTAATATAATTTATTTTACCATATTAATAGATGTTTTCTCCCTGGAAATATATGAGTTTGGAAATTTTAGAGAAATTCCTAATGAATGCATTACACTGTAACTAAACCCATTAGATTTTAGCCTATGAAATCTACTGTAGATTTAGTCTACTAAAGTCTTATGATATTTAGTCGACTGAAAGTAGACTAAGACTAAAACATTTCAGTTGACTGAAATATGACTAAAACTAAATGGCATTTTAGTCCAAAGAACCAAGTCCCCATCCTACATTTGTTTCTTTTTCCTTTATCCATTTCACTACGTCACAATATGGAAGAAAAGGTATATCACTACTTCTATACGTACGTTTTTTAGGGGATGCTTCAAGTAAATTTTTGTGTCATTTTGCGGTAACGTAATATATTTATATACCTGAATGAGTAGGCCACACAGCCCCATTTGCCCTTCCAGTGGTTGATGCACAAAACATCTAAGTGACCAGAAGAGTGTGTTGATTGATTTCCATCTGAATCCTGCACCACAGAGCAGTTCACCTGCAGAGAGTGATAGGAAAAAATCTTCCTTTAAAGGTCCAGATATCTTGCTTTGAAAGTGACAGTCCATTTGTACATATGCAGTCGCATAGTGTTACGTAAGACAGCTGTAAGCATGATCGAGCAGGGAAACAGAAAAGAACATTATGGCATGTTTGTGTACCTCTGTTGTGGTGATGAACTTGGTGAGACGCTGCAACTCTGCAAAAAACGAGGGATGTTCTGATGCCCATGGCTGCAGTATCAACTCTCTAGCCGTGGCCTGTAAACACATAAACGCGAAGCTCTCTCTAATCTTGGCCAAATTTCAGATGCACATAAAAAAACTGTAAAAACAAGGATGCAGTGGAGGAGGGTCAGGCATTCGATAGCCACTGAAAAAACGATGTGAGCGTGTGCAGAGCTTCAGGCAAGAGAAGTTGCAGCTTGTTTGGGGTCACAGAATGTGCCCTTTCGAAACCAGAGGTTACATGAGTGAGAACAAAAGAAACAGAGGGAACTTTTTAAACCTGGGCAGTTGGAAATGGAGCCTCTCCCAAAACATACAACAACCTTGTTTAGTAACCATGGAGACACTAGACTAGAGGAAGAGGGGATATGACTCACTGAGGAACTCACTGTTGTAGGGGAGGTGGGGGCGGACAGCGAGACAAACGGAGAAAGGGAGAGTGAGAGACTTTATTTTTCCATCTTAAAGTGTCCAGAAGGGATCCCCGTGTATTTTGCCCGTGTAAGTCAAACATATGTTTTCCAGACCCTCCAGATAAAAAGCTGCAACCGGGTCATTTATTCTTATTAAAATTCAATCAGTTTACTAGGACAATTTATTTTCTTTTGAGCTGCACATCCGGAGGACCCTCCACCTAAAACCGAAAGACAGATAGTTACCTGCATCACTAGTGAATATGAGATTACCTGGCGTCCTTCAAGCTCGTTTTCGTCCTGGTATCCTGTCAGTCTTGAGTCCTGCTCGTCAGTCCAGAGACCCAACTCCCGCTCGCTTTTTCTAACCTCAGACGACGCTGAGCCGCCACTCTTCTCTATGCTTATAACGAGAAAAGCAGGCTCGTCACCGCTCGCGTCGCTGGATGCGCGCGGCACCGTTAAACTTACCAGTAGTTGGACTAGCAGTAGCACCGGCAGACCTATAATAAATATACGGTTGGAAATGCTTCTCAATCCGCTAAAGTTACAAGCGGCCATACTTCCCTTCTCTTGAGTTTGGAGTGACCCGTGGGAGTGCAGACACCAGAAATGAAGAGTCGGCGCCACAGTGACTCTCTGGCTTGAGGGCACTGGGATCTAAAGCTCACAGCTGGACAGTATCAACAAATACCAGCATGTGTGAGTCAGTGTTTGCCTGCACCTCCCAATATTCCCCACGAGAAAAAAAGCTTAATAGACATACTAAATAATGTATTAACGAAAAACCTAAAAAAGGCAGAACGGTTTGAGTGAGGTTTAGAGGACAGAAATGAGTGGTCCCCATACACGTGCGCACACAGCCATTCAAACTCAAACACACACACACCACCCACGCGCGCGAACATATTTCACTACTATGTAGTATGCAAAAACAGCGCGTCAAATGAGTAGGATGTCCAAATAGCCACTATTCATAATGCAGTAGATGAGTAATAGCCTCGTGACGTAGCCTACTGCATCTGCTGGGATTCTGAAGTGTGCAGCAGTGGTCACTTCCCGCTATTATTATTAGTGGTCGGGAATTCAGTTCAGAAATTTGGATGTGGTTTTATAATTACAACATTTCAAACCAATAAAACTCGCGCAATTAGGAGAATTAATCTGAGTTATTGTCTGGCATCCACCTTACAAACAAAAGGTCCATTTGCGGTAGAGCCAGTGTCTATATAGCTTACAACAGAAACACAAACTAATCGTTAAAATCGACCTGTTAGTCAGGAGTGTCTTGTCCGTCGCTTTCCCAATAAAAACTTTCCCTTGCTGCTTTTGCGTTTTTGTTATGTGATTTGTTAATGAACAATTAAATTACAGTATTTGCTGACAGCTAAAGCAGGGTAGGACTGGATGAGCATCGGATGCTTAAGGATCTATTAACATCTATTATATAAGGATCTATTAACATCGTTCACACATGGCAATCTCAGTGGTGAATGAGAAGTTAACCACAAATCAAATTGCAAGCTTGTGTCTTAAAGCAGTTATTTTTTGAGAGGGGTCATCGTTGTATTTTGAAATTTCGTAAATCTTTTTTGTGCCCTCTAAAATTGTAACTTATTAGGCCACAAACAAAGGGAGAAATATTGCGAGATGTAGCCTATTCAAGAAATGTATTCAAATGTAAATGCATATCTGATATTGGCAGTGTTTATCATGACGTTGGCTCGATTGAATGTTAGAATGACAAGCCGCCAACATTAAGTTTTTTATTTTATCTTTAAACTTTTGTATTTCTGTAAATGCAAATGTACAATGGAATAATATATAACAATATGGCAACCCGATGCATGTTATCAGGTGCTGCAAATTTGTTGCATATATAATGAAACATATAAGTGATAACCAAGAAACAGAAGTACAATTCTGCAACCAGACAGTGGCAACACAAATATCGAGCAACTGACTCAAAATAGAGAATGCACAGAAAGTGGTAGTGAAGAGAGTAGGTCTCTTTCTTGTGATGCGTTTTCCCCCCCCCCCCCCCCCCCCCCATGCATCCATGTAGACCTAAAATATAATAATAGACAAAAAGCCAAACATTCGTATTCAGATGTGCAAGTCCCTTGGGTTGATCTGTTGCAGATAACTGTGTTGTAATTGTCCAATATTTTCAAATTCTCAACACAGTGGGGCAGCAAAAGGATGAGAAATGTAAGTTGAAATATCACACCCCTCCCCCCACACACACTCCCAATACCACATTTACAAACTGATCAATGAAAAAATACAGAATGAAAACCTACCACACAAATACAAATTCTCACAGCCTCCTTCACTCAATTACTTTCCATAATTCCCATACAACCTTTCCTTCATCTCTCTCAAATCACTGCTCATGTCCTTATCTGAACTCATCTGAGCTTCTGTTAGAATGTCTAACGCCAAAAGCACAATTGCCTCATTCCAAACGCCTGAGTGGTGCTGCATGGCCCAGAATGCAAAAGAGGCACCAAAACCACTCACAGAAGGAAAAAAGGAGGAAGGAAATGTAAAGTTGAAATGAGTAAAGTTTTCCAAATCATTAAATGTAATTGGACTGTCATCTGAATGAGATCTGAAACTTTGTTGAACATTTTAGTAAACATCATAATAATTGGAGGTTATTACCCATTGTATTTTTATTTTCCTGCTTGGCCTCCATTGGACCTCATTTAATTTTCATTGTATTTCCCCAACCACAGAGTAGAGGCAGGACAAAATTAAACAATGATCAGAACAGAATGTGTATTTAAATATTTTTACCTCAGATACAGAATATGGAACAGACAGATACAATATTTCATCACAAAAAATCACTGTACGACACAGCGGACCACAAGAAATACGAACAGAGGGATGAAAGAAAAAGAGGAGGCGAATATGCATTGTCCACACCCTGAGTTCCAGGCCATCAAATCCAGGGTGGAAAGTGCCCTGGCCTCTAAACATGTTGACAAGGACAACATCGTTCGGGGTCAGTGCATGGGTGTCTGTCCTCCTGTGGTGATAAAAACACACAAATGAGAGTTGGATGTTGGGCACAAAGTGACCATGCTGTAGATCCAGAGCGACGGTTGAAGGGATCAAATTTAGACACATTCCTGTGGGACCAGACCAGGCCACTGATAAAAAAGATTACTTAAACTGTACTTGCACAAACCCAAGCTGAACAACTTAAAGCCACATAAAACTGGTATTTCCCTCATGTGTCCTTACAGCAGTTCCAAAACACTGTCATGACATTGCTGCTTTAACATATGTCTCTTTCAGCAGGACTCTGAGATTCGGTTGTTTTCATAGCATGGAGCTCCTCAAGTGATGGAACCATTTGAGTAGCTTATGTACAAATGCTGTTTTTTTTAAACGCTGAACTTAAAAGTGAGAAGAGGGCAGAGTTTGTGCAGTCACCATTTATAGATGCTGAAGGAGTGGATCGACCTTTAGGATTAAGTAATCTCCCCAGTGACAAAATCAGAGGAGGCTTTGAGACTAAAACAGACAGAAAGAGGGACCAAGATCAGGATGTAGACAAAAACCTTTTGTGTGGTCTTTCACATTGGTTTAGTTTTTGGGCATCACTGAAATGTGGGTGTGTGTGAATCACATTTGCACTCTAAAAGAACGAGACAAGGTTGTTCCCTGCATTTCATCAAATTGTTTTTTTCATGATACTAGCAGTGTCCGTTCTTTGTTTAGTAAGTCCCTAGCCTAAGCTGTATAGCAATATTAGTTAGCAAGATTGTCTTTTTGTGCGTGCATTTGCAGTTGCAAGTCAGCATATGAAAAGTAAATGCAAATATGTGAATGTTTTGTGATCACATAGTATGTTTGTGTTCGTGCAAGTGTTTCTGTGTGTGTGTCCATGTGTATGGATTTGGATCTTGATTGTCACTGCTGGAGAAGTCTTTATTTAGTCCATAACTCTGAAACTCTTCAGTCTAACTCAGTAAGTGTCTTCCAAAGCTTATCCTTTAAAAAATATAAAAAATATGAAAAGGGTACTGTCCATTTCATCTGTCAAGAAAATAAAATAAAAAAAAGAATAGTTAAATGATGATTAGGATTAGTCTCAATACATAATGACAAAAACTTATATCACAATATAGTTTGTGGCAGCATTCAAGTATCTACTTGAACAATTTTATACTGAAATTATCTGAACTATGTCCCAGAATTAATGTCTTACCTCTTTAAGGATGCCAAGATAATTCCAACTACAGGCTGGTGACGGTAAAGCCTTCTTCACTGGGCTGGTCAAGAAGCTGGCAGAGTACCCCTCCCCGGGCTGTTTGGGGTGCATAACGGTGTCCAACGGGTGCATAGCTGTCCAAGTTACCATGGTAACCCATCTCTTCATGCTGAGGGGAAGAGTCCAGAGTCCCACTCACACAAGAATTTGACATGGAAGGACCTCTTTGTAAAGGGGAAGGGTAGGATGAATGGGATGGAACTCTCATCGCAGAGACCATCAATGACATGTCTCGTTTGTTGGAGGGCAAAGAGACTGCTGGTGGTCGTTGTTCCTCGTAGTTTTGGGGGCTGCCAGCAACACTTCCTCCTTGCCCATACCAGCAGGGTGAGCCACTGTAACTGGGGGAATCATACTGGGAGAACTGGTCTTTTGGGACCCGATGCGGACTCATGGCAGAACCACACTGTGGCAAGAGGCGAGGGGTTGGCGAGAGGGTTGGGCTAAAAGTCCTGGCAGCATGCCCATAAGTCTGTGAGGGAGGACCAGGTTTAGGGCACTGCTTTATGGCATCTGACTGATTTGATAAACTGGGGGATATAGAGGCAGAGTCTGCAGGGTAGACATGAGCAAATCTCTCATCTGAGGAGGGAGTAGAAGTATGGACAGAATATGGAGAGGGGTATTCACAGGACTCTGGGACATGGCTGAGAGGTGACAGGCTACTACTATCTCCACTGTAGTAATCCAATGCTTCCTGGTATACACCCCCTGAACCCATCTGCCCTGACCCTGATGGGGCTGAAGGCTTTTGAGATTTGTTTTTTGGTGGTGGTGGACGATCTCTTTGGCAAGGAGAGAAACCTCCCCTGCCTCTGGCTCCTCTCGGCTGTCTACCACCTGTAGTACTACGTTTTGGCCCTCCCCCTTGCATAGGAGGGCTGGCAGGTGATCCTGGGGGAACAGAGCATGCTTCCTTCTCATTGTGTGTCTCAGACTTTTTCCTTCGCCCACGACCTGGTTTCGCCCCCCCTTGGAATAGTACATTCTGACTCCAGTTGTAAGAAGGGCCTGCTGAATTCTCATTCCAGTCAAGCATTAGCTTCTCCAGGCTTGAAAGGCTAGACTGACCCTCAGGCATAGGAACATCCCTTGGGCGAAATGCTCCCCCCACAACACCCATCCCTCCTCCACCAGTGTGAGAAGAATCTGAGGAGGATTCAGAAAGTGTTTCAGGGCAAGGACGCTGTTTGGCTTTTTGGGGTGTGTAGTTTGAGATGTCCAGAATGTCTTTGGATTCTGATGCCGTTCCAGCTACCCCATATTCAGAAAA